GCCAAACTCCATTTGTATGTCCTTAGTGTATGAATGTGTGATTTGTAGGAGTTGATGAAGTTGTTTTTGTGTGGATGCATAAAGTTTTATGTCGTCCATGTACATGAGATGTGAGAGTGTAAACTGTGTTGTTTTTTCGTGTCTGATATTGTAGCCGTATTGCGTGTTGTTTAACATGTTGGATAATGGATTCAGGGCTAGGCAGAACCAGAGAGGACTCAAGGAATCTCCTTGAAAAATTCCTCGCCTGATGAATATTTCGTTTGTTTGTATGGAAGTGTTACTAACCCTGAGATGTAGTGTTGTTCTCCAGTGCTGCATAGTGTTTTGGAAGAATGCAATGAGTTTATTATTATTATTATTATTATTATTATTATATCAAAATACACTTCAGAAGTTTCATTATATTTCAATTAAAATGGCAGACAGTATGTTTACAATTTTAAAAAATACAGAAGAAACTAATTCATCTTCAATTCCATCATGTCTAATTTCAAGAACAAAACAGTCTTTCTTCTCGGAGATTAACTTTTATTAGAAGCTATGTCTTTGTAAAATTACATAAAACAGTTAAAACGTTCACTGATGATCAGCCAATAATATGAAAATCAATAATACATCAACACCAGGGATGGAAATTAACACCCTATCCAGAACCTGTTACTGGTGTGTTTTGTGAATAATAGAGTTTATCACTAACCTTTTCAAACTGTTAAATAGTTTTTCCTCAGATGAAATATACTGAATAATCAATGGAACACATCAAAATAGAACAAGAATATTTAAATTAAATCGAACATATGCTTGATGAAATTAGTTACAATGGGCATGCGCATTTCATGCATGGATGGTGGATTTGAATATTCACATTCTATTTTGATGTGTTCCATTGATTATTCAGTATATTTCACCTGAGGAAGGACTATTTAACAGTTTGAAAACGTTAGTGATAAACTCTATTATTCACAAAACACACCAGTAACAGGTTCTAGATAGGGTGTTGATCAGCCAATAATTTTTAAAAAATACATAATTTCAATTAAAATATTTTTTTAAATTGTAAAAATACCATCTGCCATTTTATCTAAACAGTCTCAAAAGGTGGAACTGTTGAGTAAAAGTAAAAACACTGCACTTCACTCATACCTGGAACAATGGAAGCATCACTCAAATATTTGTGCTTCCATTAAATTTTAATGTGCAGCAGTAGGTATGAGTAATGTGTAATGTTTTTAATCTGCCATTCAGTAATAAATATATAAAATGACTTCACAACCCCTATGTATGTTTATTTGCATTAAACTCCTTCTGGAATTTATTTAAAGTTCATCGGTGTACATTATTTTTGTTATAAAACATTTGTTTGAATATAAAATTCAAACAAATGTTTTTGGCTATGTAAACAGTCATCTTTAATTCCAAGTTCCAAGAGTTGGATTCATATGAAATTCAAATTCTAGAATACATAATATTGCATTCATAAAAAATATATAACTAATAAATAACATAAAAAAATTAAAAATTACAACTAATAACAATAAATTCAAAATGTATATAAGGAGGAACTTCCAGGCTGGATGGATTGTAAGAGTGTCCTTCCTATTAATGCATCCAACAATAATGGCTTATAAATTTACAGAACTTTGGTAGCAGCACTAGTTTTGGATGTATAAGGAACTTTCTTAAGAATTTCGGCCTCATCCCATTGTTCAATAAATGTGGGAATGGACCCAAAAGCTACTAGAACTTTATTACATTTAGTGACAATGTCAATTGACATTTACAATTCAATATTGTGATTTGTATGATTATTGTGCTCCTTCAATAATCATAGAAGTGTCTTGAGTTATAGCAACATACAACAATGAAACTCCAAAATGAGGATGAAGGTTTTCTCTGTGTAATTAATTTATTTACTGAAGCAGTTACTACTTTAAACTTATCAGGAGTTTAAATAATTTTTTTAAATATGAATTTTAATTATTTAGATTGTATTTATTAGGTATAGTCTGTTTAATTTTTGAAATATGAAAACATTCCTTAATTTTTTTTATTAATAATTAATAGTATGTATTGTAAGAAAATTGGTGATTAGACTCTTCCTTTATGCAATTTTTATTTATAGCAAATTATAATTTTGTTATTTTTTATATTTTCAGATCAAAATTAAAAGTGATTTGTATAACAGCAAGCAATACTTGGGGATTATTTCTGTTAGTCCTGTTATTGGGTTATGGTTTGGTAGAAATTCCTAGAAGTTGTTGGAATAAAACAAAAAGAGGCTATATGCTTAATTATTTGTATTTTAAAGCTGCTAAACTTAGTACTGAGCGTTGTGAAGCAGAAGAAAGAGTTGATGATCTCATGGAAGTAAGAGTTGAAAGTATTTTAATTTAAAGAAATAATTAAAAAAATAGAGTGAATTTAAATAAATATTTTTAATTAAATGAAGAAATAACTAATTTTATGTATTGATAATATAATTATAAAAACTTAATAATAAACTCTGCTGTTGAAATTAATTGCTAAATGAGGTCAGTTCTAGATTTTGTTTTTTATGTAATTGCAATGCTTTAAGGTTCTATAAGAGATGCATCTATTTTATATTATGTTCTGTTGAAATGACTATTAAATTTCTTGTCTACCTATTTTTAACATTAATGTACTTAATAATTCAAAAATTAGAACAATTTGATACTAATTATCTGGTTTTTTTGACTTGAGTAATCTAATAATTTTGTAGATTTAAGAAAAAAGAATGACTTATTCAAACTGTCAGTATAGCATAACTAAAAATTGAAAATTAGTCATCTAAATTCTCAATTAGTCCTGTTTATTAGTTTGATAGACATGTGTAGTCAGAAATAGTGACTGAATATAAGAAATTAACATCATTTTTAAGAATGTTGTTAATCTTGCTCTCAAAAATGCTTATTTATTTTATTTTTATCAATACTTTTATTATTTCTTTGCTTTTAGTTTTTTAATCATATGTTTTTTGTATTAGAATTTGTTTTAGGAGTAATAAGTCTCTCTATAATACTACTGTTAAAAATTTACAAATAGACAATTGAATAGACTGAACAGAACAGAAAAGTTTCATATTATGTTTGATGATTGTTTTCTAAAAATTTTTTGTTCAATTTTTTTAAAGATGGAAGTACTTTAAAAGTAGTATAATTTGTTGAAATTTTGTCATTTTTTTAAAAATTATTTTTAGATTTATTGTTTCCTCAAAATTAACTGTTAGTACACATACAGTGAGTAAAAACATTGTTCATATGGCAGGAGTTTCACTTTCCCAAGTCATTTTTTTAAAAATGTGATCATGTAGGGCAGGTGTGTCAAACTCATTTAAACAACGGGCCATTTAGTACAACTGGTAAGATTCACAAGGGCCATGTCACATTTACAAATTTTCTTAAAATTATAATTTGAAGTGAGAATGCAGGAATATAGATAGGGCAATTAAAACACATTATGTAGTTCAGTGAATTCAACTCAACAATAATATAAAATAAATGTTTAAATAAAAGCAATACTATAGCAATTATATAATTGCTATAGTATTGCTTTTATTTAAACATTTATTTTATTTAATGTACATATTTGTAAAACTTAAAATTAATTGTTTTCTCCAGAAACTTGCCAGCACTTTCTTCCTCCTCTTAGTTTTCCAATATCTGGATTCAATTCTGAGAACAAACAATCTTCATTATGGCAGATTAATGTTTATCAGTTATTCTTGTTTGTAAGCCATTTTATTTAATTTTATGCATGAAAATAATTGCTTACATAAGTACATACTTCCATTTTGTGCATAAATTTTGTGCAGCAAACTTTTTAATTTCCAGATATTTTTCATCTAAATAGGAATATATTTTGGGATTTCCCAATTCTCAATATTTGTCTTTTAAAACTAAATCATTCTGGAAATCAATTTCAGTTTTATTGAAGTTGGAGAATTTTCAACTTCAATGGAAAAAGGTCCAATGAAAAGAGAAAAAAATTTCTTGTAACTTCTTGAAATCATCAAAACATTTACCAAATATGTTTCTGATTTCATCAATTTTATCAACATATTGTGAAGACAAGCAACTTTGATTTTGTGCTTTTAACTGCTCACACGTAGGAAAATACGTGAAAATGTTTTTTTTCAAATGATTTTTAAATAAAGTCAGTTTTTTTACAAAACTTGTAATTGCATTGTACATGTTCATTATTAATTGATCTTTGCCTTGCAATGTAATAATAAGGTTATTCAGATGGTCTGTAATATCTGTTAAAATGCTAGGTCTTTTACACACAATAACTGATAAATTTTTGTTGTTTTCATCTTTCATTTTCAAGAAATAATAATAATTCCTCCAAAAGCAGATAGAAGCTCTTTCAGGAGTTTGTGGCAGGACAACCAATGAACTTCTGTGTAATAAGAATTCTAAATCTTTAAGGAATGAAGTAAATTGGCAATGATTAAACAGAGAACTTGATGAATAAGGCAATGGAAAGCCCTGATTTTTAGTTTATCTCAATACTTATCTTGTAATTTTATTGTCAGTCATGACACAAATCATCTAGTTTCACCAATCATCAATTTAGTGCCATCAGTTGTTACAGAAACAAGCTTGTCAAGAGGAAGCTTGCATTTTTCTAAAATGCTTCATATGGCATAAAAAATATCGCCAGTTGTTGTTTCATGAAGAGGGATAATTTCCAACAATTCTTTGATGATCCTCATGTTGTTATCGCAACAACAGAAAAAAAATGCAACTTGTGCAACATCTCTTAAATCTGTGCTTTCATCAATCACAATTGAAAAGCATTGGACTTTGGTAAATATTTCCTGTAGTTGTGAACTGATGTCATCTGCCATTCTTGCAATTCTGTCTGCCATTGTATTTCTTGATAATGAGATACCTCGAATTGCATGTACCTTTTCTGAACAGATGAATTCAGCAGCTTTTACCATACATACCTTGATNCACATTTATTAGGATCAGACTAGAAAGAAAATTAAGTCTTGGGAAAAGCTCCAATACAAGCCCACAACTATGAAAAAAAACTATAAATTAATTTTCCTGTAGTTGTGAACTGATGTCATCTGCCATTCTTGCAATTCTGTCTGCCATTGTATTTCTTGATAATGAGATACCTCGAATTGCATGTACCTTTTCTGAACAGATGAATTCAGCAGCTTTTACCATACATACCTTGATTAAAGAACCATCAGTGAATGATTTGAATGTTTTTAAGAAAACTGATTTATTTAGGAAATGCTTTTGTTTCCTTTTTTCAAGATGACAGGATCAGATTAATTCTAGCCTGTTTGATAGTGCAAATCGACCATATTTTGTGTAATAATTGCACATACACATATTCTTCTTGTAATAATCACTCATCTAACTTGTATTGCAAGATAAACTATACCAGTTGATTTAATTATCAGTATATTGGTGGTGTTTGATGATATTGAATAATAGATTATAGATATGATATTTCTCAATATCAAAGTTTGGAAAAATAAATACTGGCTAATATTGTTAGACATTCAATATTAGTGATATCTGGAATTATCAAAATTTATGAAGTTGATTTTAAGATAATCCAAGTATTTCATTCAAATTATTTTCATATATATTTGTTACAATATTCTGACTTAACTAGTTTTAAGTTAGTTGTTATATTAGTTTTACATTTTTTTTTGGGATCATGCTTTTTTTCTTCTTACAATATCAATATTTTTTTAATCCAATAATCACTCACCAAAAATGAAAAAATTTCTCAATGGGCAATTATTACAGGAAATATGGTATATCATACTTTGCTACTGTGAGTTGATTTGTTTTGAGAGATTATACTCAAATATTTCTGCTAACTTTTTAAAATTTATTATTTATTATTATAGTAATTATGTTAGAGTACTTGTTTAGTACAAAATAATATGAATCAATATATTCAGCTCCTTCAAAAGAGAGAATTGAATATGCTGTGAAAATTAATATACTGCTGCAATTAAATTTTAAATTGATCACTTCATATTTTAAATAAGAACTAATTTAGTATTTTATATTAATATAATTTCTGTTCTAAATATATTAGAATCAAATTTCTATTATTTGTAGGAAGTCCAGCAAGTTGCAGAATGTGTTTCAAGAAGACATTCTTACTTAAAAAATTATTTAGCAATTATCCTTGATAAGGTAATATTAATTAATTATTACTCATACTTAATTTAATATTAAAAATAAAGTAATTTGACTAGTTTAAGTATTGCAAGAATTTTTAAATTTCAAATTGGCATAATTTTGAAAGTCATCCCTTAACATTGTTTTATTGTAATGTTATTGAGGAAAGATACTAGTACATTTGTAATCATTTATTGTTGTTGTTGTTGAATTTTATTTATAAATAGTAAAATTTATTCTATTAAGACAGTCATTACTAGTATACTGACTTTATGTAGTAATAAATAAAACCACAAAGACACAGGGAATCAGCAAAAATGAGATATTAAACAAAAAAAATAGAACAGAGTCTTAAAATGGAATGTTTTAAGGTGTTCTGTTCTATTTTTTAAATACATATTCTCTTTTGTGTACAATCTATGTAGTCCAATGATGTTAATTTAATAGAGAAGAAAATGTTTGTCATTAAAATTTTTGCTGGTTTTTGGTGTTTTTGTGGGTTTATTCATTGATTCTATGGGGTGGGAATTAAATATTGGTGGTTGCAAACATGATTGAATAAGAATAATAACTAGATTCTTTCTTTGAATTCTGATGAATATAATTTTCTTTCATTATATTTTTGCCTTTTTTTAAATAACATGAACTCATATCCATACTAACAATACATAAGGCATTGTTTAATGTCAAAGTAAACAAATGCGCCCTGTTTGCACTTGTCGTTTTAAATTTCTATAGAGATCTCTATGATTTGTTGAAATCTTTGATTATTTTGAACTCCATGGTGGTAGGAGATGCTTTTTACAATTTTTCCTTTGCAAACATTTATTCTATATTACTCATCTTTATCCATCTACAGTGATGAAGATTGTCTCCCTCTCAATACCACTTACCATCTTTTCAACTGCTGTCACTCACTGATTCTCAAAATTGTTAACTAATTATCTTAGTTATTTTCATTAATTGTTTTAAATATGATATATATAGTTCACATTTATTAGGATCAGACTAGAAAGAAAATTAAGTCTTGGGAAAAGCTCCAATACAAGCCCACAACTATGAAAAAAAACTATAAATTAATTTTAAAACTTATATATTTATTACATTAGACATAAAAGATACATAAATGTAAAATTAATACATTAACTAAGAACATAACATTAACTTACGTTTTAATAAATTACTATTTTTGTCATTTTATTTGTAATTCCTTCATTTTCTATTCTCACTAATATATCTTCATCTGACAACATAAGCATTAATGCCATTGACTTAAATTATTACAAAGCCCATTTAAAATATATTTTAATTTGAAAAATGATATTTTGAAAGGTAAAAAATGGGCAATACACTTAAAACAAATTATACCCTACAAATATATTAGCATATGCTAAAGTATGCAAATTAAATAACAGCAAAGAATGCAGTTTTTCAAATCTTGTATTTTTTAACATTTTCTTTATTTTAACAAAATTTATTACTAGATCCATGATTACTTTATAAACAATAATATGAAAATTGTCAAAAAAGTTTACATTCTTGCTCTTTTTGTTTTTTTCCAAATCTCTTTCTTTATTTCTATCAGGAATGTATTAAAAATTTATTAGACCAGATGTAATTACAATCAATTGGGCACTAATCTTGTCTTTAAGATGTGTCTGTGCTTATTGAGCTGCAATTTGAAAAAATTGTAAACCTATAAATTCCCACTTTCATCTGTTCATCTGTTTTTTTTTTTTTAATCTTGAGAAAAGAGTTAGATAGATGAAAGATGAGACCAGATATGAAAACCTTAGGGGCAGGAGGCCCCAATTAACTATGTGCAAACTTCTGATTCAAATCAGCAGTCATGTTATTTCAATTCAAAAATTTCTCTCAAAAGCAGTTAGATCAGTGTAGTGATATTGGACCTATTCTTTTCCCCTGACTGCAGTCTTATTGGTCAATATTCAATCTCTTTACAAGCAGTTGTAAAGTAATAAACAAGGGTAGACAAAGGGTCATAAAACAAAGGGGAGAAAAAGTGGGAAAAATGGGAGAGAGGGACAAGAGTTGGAGAATCAGATTAGAGATGGGAGGATGGTGGAGTTAGTGAAGAGAAAAGTGGTGGAGTTCGAAAGTGAGCAAGGAAGGATAAGAAGAGTCTTGTTAACTGTAGGATTGAGTTTCTAGTGTATACGATCAAGTGTGATTAAAGTTTGTTTTTTCTGTTCAGATAGTTGACTGTTTCAATTCAGTATGATGAGTTGGCGGGAGGGAATCTGTGAATGCAGGCTGGATTCTCTACAGTCGGCATGACTATTTTAACAGGAAAAGTATGATGCACAGGGGCAAGACACTGCTAATTTGAAGGAGGAGAGTGTATATTTTTCTAACATTTTCAACCTACTTAATATAGGCTTAAGGTTAAACTGTTCCAAAATGGAACGTATTATTTTTTGAATAAGTTTCATTTTAAATTAAAAAATTTTAATTTAAAATAATTGTGTATATTAAATAAATGAACAAATAAATAAATAAAACATAGTAAACAAGGCTAAGTATAACGAATACAAGTTTTAAGAGTTTTTAAGTCCCATACTTTTTTCTATCATATACTTCCATGCTGTTGGAAGCACATTAGCATCCTTGGCATTTAGGCAACATTTTTTCATTTTTTTTTTTTAAATTTTCATCTTTTCCATCTCCAATGCAATGGATGGAGAGTGAATCATTTTAATGACTTTTGCCTCATCCTATCTTACAATCGCTCCTTCGGTCTGCACCATAATTGCTAATATTATGCTGCTGTGCCCTTTATCCATGTTTTATTTGTGTTCTCACAGACGTACCGCCAGGTTTCTTCCAGTTGATTTTCAAATGGTATTTTATAAACTCCAGCTTCTTCTTCCATTTTTATGCTGTCTTTATCATTCCATAGTAAACTATAGCTATTGGGTGCTTTTTTTATAGACCATTCTCAAGTTTTATAAGTATCCAATTCATTCATCATTCCTCCTGTATGCTTATTGTATGTGAATTTGTTATTCCATCTAATTTAGTATTTCTTATGCCTTTATTTTCCCTAACTTTTGACCAGTCCTTGAATTTTTGCAGTTTTGTAACCCAAATTTGTTGCAATTCTTTTAATTCTACTAATCTCCCTGAGACAGATTCACAGTTTCACTGGAACAAAAAAAAAATGTTTATTTATTTGTTCATTTATTTAATATGTACAATTATTTTAAATTAAAACTTTTAAATTTAAAATGAAACATATTTGAAAAACAATATGTTCCATTTTGGAACAGATTAATCTTAAGCCTAAAGATGGCCTATATTAAGTAGGTTGAAAATGTTAGAAAAATAAAAAAATAATTTTATGCTAGACAAAAAATTCGGGTGTTTTGATGCAATTATTTTAAATCATTGTATAAATGAATGTTGTGCCAAGTGTTGGTTATTACACTAAATTGCGGTTTTAAAAAATAAATATTTTAAAATAATTACTCTTCAAAATATATCATTACATGATAGCATATAAGTGATACACTTACTGACAATTGTGTTCTTGTTTATTTTTTTGTTGCATTGAATCAACATTCATAAGCAGTTGTGCACAAGCAAGAGACAAATATAGAATTCTTACTATTAAAATTATATTGAATTCCAAAACACTTGTATTTATTTTTTTTTAATGATAGCCTACCAGGGAAAGCCCAATACCCCAATGGGCCAGTCCAATCTTGCATTTATTTCAAATTTTTTTATATTAAAAGAGTTTGGGGGTCTTTATTTAGAAGTTTGGTAATGCTTTTGTGATTGAAATATGCCATAGGAACTTAACTCTTGTTTATTTCATTTAGCTTATGGTAAAATTGACATTAAGCAAAACAATGTATAATGAAACCAGAGTTTCCAAGAACCTATCAACATTATTAAGTGAGAACTTTCTGTACTTTATTTTAAAATTAGAAGTTTATAATAGGTGTTTAATAATAATAATAAAAAATAATAAGTGTTTATAAAAAATATATGATTTGAAAATTAGTTTTTAAAATTGTTAACTTCTAATTTATAAGTCATCTATAATCTGATTTTATTATTTGTTTCTTATTAATTACTTAAGAACATTACAAAAAAAGTTATTTTATCAGTAGCAGATTTTAAATCATTTTTAATATAAATTCTTATTCAAAATAAATGAATAATAAAAAAAAATTACAGCATACTGTTTCTAATCTGAACTAGATTTTTTTTACTTAGTTAATACAAAATTTTACATGATTTTGAATTGTATTTAATCATAACAGATAATCATAAACAAGTGGAAACTTTCAAAAAATTTCTGCTACTTTTATGCATATCTTTCATTTATATTAAATTATATTTTTATAATATAATCAGTTTTTAATGAACCAATAAACAAAAACAACAAAAGCATTCCTAGTAAATGTGACAAAGCATTTACAAGCAAAAAAAAAAAACAAACATTGCCTTTGAACCTGTGTACATTCTGACTGATATAAACACTTACTAATCGCAGTACAAGACAGTACGTTGTTTTTAAATATATAATATATGTATTTGTCTGTAGCAGAACTTTCACTTGACTACAAAATCTGAAAGTCAAACTAACTTGTTCTAAAACTAAGGGTCAAAATTTGAGTAAAGTACCATATATATTGATATATAAGGTAAGGACCTAATATCAGCTAATGTTTTACATGTTTAGCTCTTATTGATTGTATTAAATGACCCAACTTCTAAACCTACTGATCAAAACAAACTTAGGAAAAATCTAAATAAACAGAAAACTGTGCATATGTTGCTAAAAACAAATTGAAAGGAATAAAATGTCCACAAAACATTTGTACCTCCAGTTGTAAAGTATTTTTATTAGCAATTAGCATTTTCAATCTTATTAGCAATTGAGTCACCAATAAAAATACTTTACAACTGGAGGTACAAAGGTTTTATGAACATTTTTGTTATAGTTAGACCCAGTTCATTTGTATTGCTGTAGAATTATTCAAATTGAAAGGAATCTATTAATTCATTCCTTATGAGAAAATATTAAGCCTAGATTACATTGGATGAGTTTAGTAGTGAGTTTGAAACTAATGAGAAAATTGGCTGGGAAGTAGCTACTAAGCCACTTGCCAACCAATTTTCTCATTAGTTTTAAACTCTCTCAGTACAGTTACTTTGGCTAGTAAACCTTATTCATCTGACTGAGTAAAATGAAGCCCAGGCTACTTTTGTTGCTACTCACTCACAAATTTCTGGATAGAAAATTTGCTCTGTGTAATCATGTGCAACAAGTAGCACATGATTACAGTAGATGATGTATATTGAAGTAGTTTGTGTGGAAATTTTAGTATTTTGAGAAATAACTTTAAGAGGACAAGGAATAAAAAAAGCATACTGACACTTTTCTTCAAGAAATTTAATAAACAATGTTTATTTATTTAAGAAATTAAATTCTTTCTTTTAGAATCACATGCAGGCCTATTTGAGAAAAGACAATTTTGTCTAAAGATAAAATAACCTTTAATATTGTCACATAGTTTAAATAGTATTTTATTACTTAGTATAGCCATGAAATTGAAGTGAGTAAGTAAATTCAGTAGCCCATTGTAATTGGTATGGATGTATGCGAGCCAATTGGTTCACTTTTTTTTTCAAATTTTGCATACTAACAAGTAACTAGTAAACTTACCCAATGTAATTTTGGTTTTATTCTGTCTTTACATAAAATACATAGTTCTTACACTTGCTAATACAACATTTTATTTATTGTGTAAGATTCAATGAAAATAGAATATCGATGGAAAACAGTATATTAGTGGCATTTACCTCTTTTGTTTTTACAAATTAAACTTGAACCCTGTTTCTGCAAACTGAGAGATTTTCTTTTGGCAAACGTGGAGGGCACTTATAAATATCTCCCTGATGTGTTAGATCTAATGCATTTGATGGTGCACTCTTCCTTCTTTGAATACGAAGATGTCACCTATCTACAAATGAGTAGCTCGATATCAGGTACTCTATGCGAACTAGTGGTCAGAAAGTATGAAAATGCCATATTACCTAAATTTCAGGAGGATATAGCATTTTATGTCAGATACATTGATGACATTCTCATAGTATGGAACAAAACACCTAACCCCGACTTGGTACTTAGGTACTTTAATGATAATCCCTATGGCCTGTCATTGAGTGTTGAAGAAGAGTCATACAACGGTACATTTTTTGGATATCAACATCAAATTTGAACACAGTCATCTTTCCACTTGGTTTTCCATAAGGAGTCATATTCACCTCCATCTATACCTAACAATTCACATGACCCTTACTGTTACAAAGTCTCCACTTTTCAATCTCTAGTAAAAAGTGCCCACACCCATTGTTTGGAGCAAAGTGAAAAGGAAAACGAATTGTCCTTGATCAAGGCCCTAGCAAGCAACACAGCATGGATAGCCATCCTCTTTGGTCAAACATCTCATAAAACAATATATAAATAAGGGGAACAGAACTATTCTACAAGAAGAATGAATGAAAGTTATCACATATAACGAAACACTGTAAAGTTGGATTTTTATATGAAACGGAACTATGTGCCAATAAAGCATTTGGAACTATCTTCAAACTTTACGACCGTTAACCTAATGGGTACTTTATGCGGATTCGCATTTAGTATGCCAGGCCTGGGCTTACGCGTGCACTGGAAATAACTATTTACAAAGTCAGTAAGGAACTCAAAGATTTAATATTAACTCAGTTAAGCACTATGTACAAATTAGTAAGAATCAAAACAATTTATTCAATGAAAAGAAACAATTAACAAAACCTGACAAAAAATAATACAATCTACTTACTATAACTTATGAACTAGTCCCCCTTGGAACTCTACAATACCAATCAATTAAACTATGTACAAGGAATCTTACAAACTGCAATCCTATCCGTCACTTAAATACTAGGAACCTTTTTCTCTTTATCCACTTTCCTTTGAATTACTCCTATCTCTATTCTCAACACTTGCTTCCAATCTTGCTCTGGAATTCACCTCTATCTATCTCTGTCTGAGGTTCACCTCGTTTGTCTTCTCTGGTCATGCTTGTTTTATACTCTGAGGTGACATCACAGTTATTTCTGGAACCACTCCCCTCATTTTTATACTTAACTTCTAACAATAAATTTGCATGTCTTTTCCTGGGCAGCCTAGTTTCCGACATTTCTCGCTAAATCCTTTTACATTATTCTTTTTATTACATATTTGGGATGTTTATTTTATCAAGGTTTAGCGAGTTCTCTACTTTTTGCATGTGGGATGTTCCCCCTTCTTTCTGCGGAACTTTCAAACTTCCTCCTGGGAGTGCAAGTGCACGTTAGTTTCCCTACGGTGCTTTGTCTAGTTGGTGAGTTGGTTTTTTTCTTCGTCTCTTTTTGTTTCTTTTTTGTTACTAAGGTCAGTGGTGAGGGAATCTTTGTCCTAACTAAACATAAAACCCAAACAAAATAGAATAAAAAGCAAAAATAAAAATTAAATAATAATACAGCTCGAACTCAGTTTATTACAACACTTTCTAATATATATAGAGAAATTGCCAGGACTACTAAAGTACACTTAGCATATTGATGCACTCCAGCAATCTTTTCACTAATCAGAAACAACAAAAACAATATACATGACTCCTATTCTCCATGGGTTTATACGGTACTTGTTTCTGACCACCGAGTCAACCGTTCATTAATACTGTATACATTGGAGTGACAGTGAGCGGTCATGCCATGAGAATGAAGGAGCATGAATATTTTATAAGAAAAAAGCTCTCAACTACAGCATTAGCGATGTATGTTGGTAGTGATGATGTATAGGTTAAACTGCAGAATGTAACATTGTTACACAGAATGTCGGATAAAGCACAACTGAAATACTTGGAGGCAGTTGAGATCTATTGAGCAATTAAACAGGGAGTTGCTATTAATTTCAAAGAAACAGACACACATTCCACAGCATGTCATGCCATTTTTGAACTAGATTCCACTGACACAAACTTGCATTAATGATGTGTGTCATAATAATTAATGAGAAATTAATTATTTATTTATCATTTAAATAATATACATATTCTGAAATTATATCCAAACATAACGTATAAATTTTATGTAATTCGAACACATTGTGTCAGTTGGAATGTCTGAAAAAAAGCATTCAATTTTTGTTAGCCATTCTGTTCTATATTGTTTTTAACTGATGATGTCTATTTTTATATAGATGAAAACATTAGTAAATTTTTTCTTTTCACAGTGCTAGTGTTGGATTTGTGCATTGTGTGCTAATACACCCAATTAGGAACAGGACCAATCTGAAAAATCTGGAAAAACTCAAAATTTACAAAACAAATTTTTGAAACACCACAATAAATTAGAGATGTTGAGATGTTCTCTGAAGCATGGAGGTCTATCTTTGAAGTACACCTATAAGTTTAAGTCTTATTTTTAAAAAATATCTGGTCATGTCATTGTTGACATCTGCACTTTCTACCACCAATGAAATGATTATCCCATTTTGCTTAAAGTGATGTCAAAATTTTTGTATATATAAGTTTGAATGCTATTTTAACCTAAAGATGAAGACAAAAAAATTGAAAATTGTTTAAAAATTGTCAAACATTTGTTTTTGTTATTATTTAGTAAATTGCCAGATATTACTGGTATCATTTCATTATTTATAATTAACTCTAGTTTTTTTAAATAATGAAGTAAGTATTGTTATAGAGGGTAATCTCTCTCGTTAATTTGGCATAAAAGTTAAAATGGAATTTAACTTTAATCTTATATTTTTTTAAAGTTTTAGTTCACAGAACTGACTAGATTTGGCAGTCTTTGGTCTGCTCAGACTCTTGTGCCAACAACGAATTTTTAAATCAAATTGTTTTGCATAAATTTATTATTTTTAGAATTATAATTAATAATAATGTAAATTATAGATTTTTTGATATTTTCAATTTTTTATGATGATTCACATTTTATAACAAACAAAACAAATTTTCAGCTTCCCGAAGAAAAACAAAATGTCATCTGTAATCGTCAGAGTCTTCGAGATTTTGATATATCTGGTCCTATAGACAGAACTTTAATACGTCTTCATCAGCAGGTAGGCTTGTTTATAGTCTATAAATTTAAATAAAACACAGTGACTGTCTTTCAGGCATATTTAGGGCACTATCATCAACAATAATGACTACTAATATAATTTGTTCTGCTTACATAAATATAAAAATTTGAAAAGGTATACTCAAATTAGTAATTATTTTATATGTTGTATGTATAGTTAGAGGTTTATTGAAAAAAAAAAAAAACTGATGATATATTAGTATGTAAAATAAATGGCTACCAACTATAAAATACAGATATCCCCCATATAACACATGTTCTGAAAAAGTGTCTTGTTAATATTAATTATTCCTTCACTGCTAAAGACAGTTAAATACATTTTATTTTTGGCAAAATATAGTCATCTTCCTAGCTTTCCTGTTGACCAGAATCTGAAGAATCAGCAACATCTATATGTTTTTCATAAAATTTGATATCTTCATTTGCTTGTATTTGCATAAGAGATCTTTAAAAGTTTAATTTTTTTATGTAGTAACTTAATTTAATCTATAAAAAGAAAACACAGTGAACTACACCATAAAATGCCGGGATGTGTTAAACACTTGACGAAGAACTCACAGCAGTTCAAAAACGTTTGTGGTGAACTTTATCTTTTGTTTTTTTTATGTCACACCGTTTATGAGTTCAAAGAGTACATTAGAAAACACAGTGATTGTCTTTCAGGTTTATTTATGGCACTATAATCAACAATAGTGACATCTGGTTTATAAGAAAGAAGAAAACTTGTAGAATCAGTTCTCATTAAAGAAAACTAAATGAAAAAGACAAAACAAGATTGAAAATTTCAATATTCTAAAATATATTGGCAAATATGCATGTTTGCTTGAATTAAAAAATATCAAATAACAATTTGCACCTAAAAATTGTGATGTTTTGTCCAATTCTTGAAATGTGTTAGAGCGAAACTGTGTTGTATGAGGGATACCTGTATTTAATATAAAAATAAAACTAATATGCTGGGTAATATTTTCTGGTCCAATGTCACCAAAGAACTATTTTGCACATCTCATTCATCTGAGGATAACATCTTCATGATCTTTAGAATGAAGAGGATGGCTTATCAAAATTATAAAGTGAAAAATGGTTCCAAATACCAAGAATCTAACACAAATGATTCTACAGAAAATAATTCAATTTCAGAATCATTCTAATAAGTTTCCTTCATCATCATAAAGTAGAAATAAAATCTATTCAATTATAAAACATAAGTTTTAAATTTTTTAAAATAATAGAGCATACTGTATAGAAGAAAATATATTAAAATTTTTTTCATTCTTAATTAGAAAGTAAATATGTTTAATATAATCCATATCAAATTAGAATCCTTTTAGTATACAGTGGAACCTCGCTTAACGAGCACCTCACATGATGAGTATTTTGCATAATGAGCAAAACAAATTGTAAAAAAATGGCTCGCTTAATGAGCAATGTTTCGCATAACAAGTGACGGTGAGAGAAGCCCCAGATTGTGCACATGCTCCATCAGTCTGTGTTTAGCACTCATTCCGCTAGCATCTTAGTGTCGCTCATAATCAAACATTTTTCTAAACATGTGTTCACACATAAACATTGACAGTCACAGCCTATTATATAGCATATCGTTTGGCGTGTTTATTACACCAAACGATATGTCAAATTCTTGAGCTAGGTAATAATTAAATTAAGGCTATAATTAAATATTAGTGTTGTAACAAATAGTATATTTGGCCTCAGGCTGAATACCGAATATTCGGCCAAGAGCGTGGCCGAATAGCCGAATATTCGGCCAAGAGCGTGGCCAAATAGCCGAATATTTGGCCAAACTATTTGGCTTGATTAACGCATGTACAAAGATTGGCGCGCAAACCGCATTATGGCAAGGATCCTTCTCTCTATTGGCTCGCTGTCACTACGCTTCGCCAATCAAGTTAATTCTTGGCAGTTGTAGTGGACAGACAAGAATGTTGTGGAAGTATGTGATAAATAATGATATCAAATGTGGATAACAATGAAATGACCTACACATGTAAATAACGGAAAAAGAACAGAGAAGGACCGTGAAGTGAAAATGTGAAAATAAATATGAAATTGAGTTGATAACATAATCGAACAAGTCGGGGCAGCTTATTGGCACAAAATTCATGGCAGTCAATGCCAAACAATTGTTGTCATAGACTTCGGAAAGCTAAATGCTTGTAATGAAAGTCACTTAGCGTGCACGGGCGAAAGCCTGGGGCCGTTCGGGCTATCAGGCTGTCTCGAATCTGTGAAATCATAACTGTGACTTATATCGACATCCTATCTGTCTCTTTTCTCCGTTATCACCAGGCTGAGTCACGTAATTGTAAAATGGGAACTCTACG